ATTATTTTTTTTAATTTATTTATTTATTATTATTATTTTTTTTTGTTTTTGAAAACTTTAATAAAATTGAAATAAATTGTATAATTAATAAATTATTATATATTTGTTCTTTGGCATGTTATTTTTATACACAACTATGTTGTCAGGGTATTATAGCTTTGTGCAGCCCCAAAAGTTTGTAACGCCGCGAAATATTGGTCCTAGACCCACCTTTAAGTATACCGATCGTCATATCTCGACTAGCTGAGTCGATCTAGACATGTGTGTCCGTCCGTCTGTCCATTATAATTTGTAAACACGATACAGGCTGCAGTTATGGACCAATCTTCACGAAATTTTGCATGTAGGATAGGTTCTGGCCAATGGAGACCCCTATTGTTTTTGGGAAAGATCAGGGTGAAATGGACCAAAAACTTTATTTTTGTCGGTTTTTCTGGTCGCTCCAGAGACCGCAATTATAACCCAAACACCGCGACTTTTGCATGGAGAAGGGGATCGAGGCAAAGAATAAGCATGCCTGTTTTGATAAAGATAGGTCAATATTTAGCGTGTCAAATGGACCCTGACTTTTGTGTGAAAAATGACAAAATTTGTATTCTATAGCGTATATATTTACCCCTGAAGGACATCGACCCGAGAAGAGGAGTGGTTGACATTTAAATTAATACCAATTATACTGTTGTATGTCCTCGGATGTGGAAGTTACACCTAAATATTTACTGGTATCTCTGTATTCGTATATTATTTAGTAACCATTATCACTCTAGAGAGCGGAACTATAGCGCTGATCGCTTTGAAATGTTCCATGAGGTTCCACTTATGGTCAAGGGCAACGCTTATAATTTTCGTTGATGATCAGATAATAATTTTTGAATGAAGTGGACTGAAAACTTAATTTTTGTGTTATTTTCGAGTCTATCTATTTACCACAAATGAAAGCCGAACATCACAACACAACCCACCGTGAAGGGAATCTGGACAATAGCTGCACTGAATACTCGTAATATTCGGAAAATATGTCAGTGTAAGGAAGAGGTGGTGTTTACCTCTAATTGGGCAAGAGGGTGCAAATATCACGAAATATTGCCAAGACTCGGAATAAACATCCGCAAAAAGTTTAAGTTCCGTGGTAGTTGTGTAGGGTATCGTATGGTCGGCCCCGTCCGACTATACTGCTCCGCTCACTGTTTTTTTTTTAATTTAAAATTATTTACTTATTTATTTAATTTATTATTTTTTTTTTTTGAAAACTTAAATCGAATTGAAAAAAATTGTATTTCCTTTTGCTTTTGGGATTTTCCCATTCTTAAAATTATTAAAAAAAATATTATGATTCACGTGCCAATAGGTATTGACTGAAGTACATACATTGTTTTTGTTGTATTTTAATTTAATACTTCTATTTTTTTCCAATTAAATTTTTGGGCTTGTTATGCTGTGGTTGTTGTTTCTGTCTTCGCCGATTGGCTTGTGCCATAAATGCTTTGGTGGGTGTCTTCCGTTTTCATGCAATGAATTCTAATAATAATTCGTCGAAAATAGAAATGCCTTTAACCGTGACATTGTCTTGCCGAAACTTCTTATAGTCAAAGTCATTGAATATCTACATATTCGTTTGTTAATCAATTAAAAATTGATAAATACAGTTTAGAAATTCAAATTAAATGTCATAAATCGGTTTTTGTATATGATTTGTTGAAAAGGTTAAAATTGTTTCTGATATTTTTTTTTTTTTTTGCTATGTTGAGCGTTAAATATTTCCACAGCGGTATTTTGTCACAGTGTCGTGTATTTTGCACAACACGGAAGGTTAATACCATCGAGATGTGATCTTTACATTCATTGGCCTTTGAATATAAAAAATTGATTTGATTCAATTTATTTTTAGAGGGTGTGTCAGGGTCCTCTGCTGCGAGATAACTATTTATTGGCAATTTATTGAAAAAAAATGGAAATATTCTAAAATGCGTACCAATCGGAGTATCTAAAATTTTAAATTGAGCGATTTCTTTAAATTAAGATTCTAGCCGTATTTTTTCAAGCTATATTTCTGTAAGTTTGTTATTAGGTCTCTCTCTGAGTTTAGAAAATACTTGTCAGACAGTTTTCAGAGTATGTCCATATCTTGGTCCAGAATATATTTTGAAGTGCATAGTCCCAATTTAGATTAGCCGATTTTACTTGCGGCAAGTTTTTGTTTGCTGGAGAGAGAGGGGCAAATGGAATAGAAATGAAAAAAAATTGCTCGTACCGGCAATTTTCTGGCAATTCGTCAGTTATTTGAAATACCAATCCATGAAATTTTCGAACATTAGAAACATTCACAAAATTTTAAAAAAATACTTTTGAAATCGAATTGTCTTGTATAGACGCATGAAGCAAGTTAAAACCAGTGAGCGGAGTAGTATAGTCGGACGGGGCCGACCATATGATATCCTACACAACTTCCACGAAAAACTAACTTTCTGTGGATCTATATTCTGATCTTGGGCAATATTTCGCGATTTTTTTGAACCATCTGGATCATCTAGAGACCGACAATTATTACTATTGTTCAATACAGGCCTTCTAATTACTTATCCAGATTCCTTAACCTTGTGTTGTGATCATCTTATTCCCATTGAAGCCTATAGATCGACTCGAAAAAACACAAAAAATTAAGTTTTCGGTCCACTTCATCACAATATAATTATCTGATCGTCACCGAAAATTGTAGGCGTTATCCTTGACCATAACTGGACCATCATGGAACATTTTAAAGCGATCATCGCTATATTTCCGCCCTCTAGTGTGGTAAAGGGTTACTAACTAACATCTGAATACATAAGCACCTGTAAATATTTAAGTGTACCTCCCACATCTGAGTACATACGACCATATATTTGTTATCAATTCAAAGGACAACCACTGCCCTTGGATGTACCAACAACTTTTCGGGTCTATGTCCTTCAGAGGTTAATCTATACGCCATAAAATACAAATTTTGTTATTTTTTCACTCAAAAGCCAGGGTCCATTAAATATTGACCGATCCTTATCAAAACAGACATATTTATTCTTTGGCCCGATCCCCTTCTCTATGTAAAAATTCGCGATGTATGGATCATAATTGCGGCCTCTATAGCGACCAGAAAAACCGATAAAAATTAAGTATTTCGTCCATTTCATCCCCTAGATATTAACCGATCTTTACCAAAAACAATATTGGCCAGAACCCATCCTACATGCAAAATTTCGTGAAGATTGGTCCATAACTGTGGCCTGTATCGTGTTTACAAAATATTATGGACAGACGGACGGACACACATGTCTAGATCGACTCAGCCAGTCGAGATATGACGATCGGTATACTTAAAGGCCAGAACCCATCCTACATGCAAAATTTCGTGAAGATTGGTCCATAACTGCAGCCTGTATCATGTTTACAAATTATAATGGACAGACGGACGGATGGACACACATGTCTAGATCGACTCAGCCAGTCGAGATATGACGATCGGTATACTTAAAGGTGGGTCTAGGTCCAATATTTCGCGGCGTTACAAACTCTTGGGACTGCACAAAGCTATAATACCCTGACAACATAGTTGTGTAGGGTATAAAGAGAGCGATAAAAATTGTCGCAAGTAAACTCGCCTAATCTAAATCAGGACATAGCCTTGATGTTTAGTTTCTCAGAGGATATACATCCATGTCCATGTTTTGGCATAATCCTCATATAAATATTTATATGTTGAAGCTCCTTTGCCGCATTGTTCAATTTATGTTTTTGTGTAATTTGGCATTTTGGGTTCATAGGGTATAAACCACATATGGTGTGGTTTAGGCATTTCAGGTTCTCAGGGAGTAACAGACATTTTTATGTATCTTTCCCTATCGATTTTAGGTATTTTGAAAGCCTTAGCCGCGCAGGAGGTTCTCAACGAATAACAGATCTTATTTCAGAAGATTTTACAATATAGGTCACTTTTCATACACTACAACCATAAATAAGTCGGATCGAATTTAGGTATTTTTAAAGCTCAGTCCATTTTTTCATTTTAGGCGAATAAATTATAATATTGGACTATGTTTTGAGATAGCACCCCACTGCAACAGTAACATCCTATTTTCGGTATTTTGAAGATCTTAAGCCTCACTTTTCAAAGGAGTGGAATGTAGTTTGGTACTTCGATTTCCGAGAAAAGAAAATATTTTACTGCAAAAAAATATCACTACAAACCCATTTGTCCTCTCTAGTAAAGAATGGACAGAAGTTTGGTGCTTCGATTTCCGAGAAAGGAAAATACTTTCCTGCTTAAAAATATCATTACAAACCCATTTGTACTCCCTTATATTTATATATATATATATATATATATATATAAATATATATATATATAAATATATATATATATAAATATATATATATATATATTTGTTTCTAAACTTTCTATGCACGAACAAATCAATATATTATTCAAGAGTGAACTCAATGACCCCCAAAAAATAATTTTCTTTAAAGAAAATAAACAAAAGACTTAAGAAACAAACATTATACCAAGAGAAAAAAATAACATCCGCTTAAGATGAGAAAAAATAACAAATAACAAGAAAGAAAAAAACAAAAGACTTAAGCAAAAAACTCAATCAATATGTAATCAAATAAAAACAAAAGAACCCTACACCAACAAACACACACACCGCAGCATCGCAAATTGCCATTGACTACTTGAGTTTTTTTATTGTAAATAACATAAAAAATAAAGTTCCTTTCACTAACACCCATGTGAAATATTTTTTTTTTTTAATTTTAATGTCTCTTACAAAATGGAAATGTGTGTGGTATTTTAAGTACACTACCTCCCCACACATATTCGCATTTATTTATTTTTAATTATTTTTTTTTCACTTTAATTAATATCATTAATATTTTAAATCGAATACATAACACACAGCATCTTCTTTTTTTTTTTGTGAATTTTAGTTTTCTTAATTTTATTTTCGTTTTTCTCATTACAGATGAATGATTACTGGCACATACCACGAGCCTCACTCTCACCATCCTCCGCATCATCTGCTGTGTCATCGGCATCATCAACACAACGTAGCCACAGATCAAAGCTAACGCCCACACACTATCGGCAAACAGAGCTACAATATTACGACGACACAACACAGTCGGCACAGAGGCAAGGAGGACGTTCTGGTGGTGGTGGCAGTAGACGTAACAGTGAAATGAGTTCATATCATCAACAGCAACAACATCCTCAACATGCTGTCAGTGTGGTCGGAACACACATCATTGGCAATAAACGGGGTTCCAGATCCTCGCAGGGCAGCAGTGATAGTAATAATAGTACAAGAGTAAGAACACAAGCACTTCTCAAAACATAGAGCATTTTTCATTAAAAATCGATTTCTTTTACAGAGTGCGGCATCTGGTTCATTGCTGTTGACAGCAGCAAATTTAGAACGCATGACCGAAATTCAACGCAAACAAGAAAAACAATCCCGTCACAACACCCGCTCACCCAATTCCGTTTACAGTGCAAATTTGTTGCATGCTGCCGCCCGCCAAAGGGATCAGCAGCATGCCAAATATCAATTGGCCACTGTTTCGGGTGCATATGTTGCGGATGTGGATCAAACGGATAATATTGCTGCCGCCGCCGCCACGGCGCGTGGCATCGGAAACCAACACACAGCCATCGATATTGATCCCAATTTGAATTTTATTAAAACCAAAGATTTGGACACGGTGTCCATAGCTAGCTCAATGCATTTTACAATGGTTAATGGAGAGGCTGGTGCCAATAAGAAGACCAAAAAGGGTCTATGTGATCGTGGTCGCCAAGTGACGGTATTAATTATTAGTATGAGTACAATATTTCTATTGCTAATAATGGGCATGGTGTATGCATTGGAAAGTAAGTTGAAAGAAATCATTTTATTTCAATTTTAAATTTTTTAATTTGAAGAAGTGGATTTTTTGGCTAATGATAAAGTGCCTTTCTATAGGTTCCTCGTATAAATAAGGGGGTTTGTAGGTTTTCTTTGCATAAAGAGGAGCTTTTATATGCATCGTTTGTTACAAAAGCTTTCATAGGTATTCATTCGATTGAAGAACTTTTTTATGGAATCCGTCAACAAAAATAGCTTCCACAAGAGCTTTTGTATGTACTCAAAAGCTTTTACATATTTTTAATTTATATGAAAGCCCCAAAGAATGTTTTTAAATACAAAAGAGCTTTTTTGGTATTTTATATCTTAGACGAGCTTTAATGTCTAAAAAGCTTTTATAGTTATTCTATAAATAGAGTAGATTGTACAGTTTTCAGATATGTAGAAGGGCCTCCAAGTGTGTCTTTAAAAGAGCTTATAAGCTTTTAATACTGATTGAAAAAAATCTTTAAAATATCCACGCCTCTTGGTCCTTAGGTTGTTGAAAAAAAAAAATATTTAAAACATTCACGCCTCTTGGCCTTAGGTTGTTGAAAAAAAAAATTTTAAAAAATTCACGCCTTTGGTCCTTAAGTTGTTGAAAAAAAATTTTAAAAAATTCACGCCTCTTGGCCTTAGGTTGTTGAAAAAAAAATCTTTAAAAAATTCACGCCTCTTGGTCCACGCCTTTGGTCCTTAGGTTGTTGAAAAAAAATCTTTAAAAAATTCACGCCTCTTGGTCCACGCCTTTGGTCCTTAGGTTGTTGAAAAAAAAATTCTTTAAAATATCCACGCCTCTTAGTCCTTAGGTGGTTGAAAAAAATTCTTTAAAAAATCCACGCCTCTTGGCCCTTAAGTGGTTGAAAAAATATTCTTTAAAAAATCCACGCCTGTTGGTCCTTAGGTGGTTGAAAAAAAAATTCTTTAAAAAATCCACGCCTCTTGGCCCTTAAGTGGTTGAAAAAATTCTTTAAAAAAAATTTACGCCTCTGGGGCGCTTGAAAAAAAAATTATTAAAAAAATCCAATCCTCTACGCTTCTACGTTCCATAGTTCTATAAGTGGAAGAACTTTATTAGGTCTTCTACATATAGAAAATCTTAAGTTGGTATTTGAAATATATAGGGAATTCTTTATATAGTGGCAATATATTAGGTATTTCCATAAAAAAGTGTTTTTGAACTCATTTCTCCGAAAGGAGAGCTTTTTTTTAGAAGGAATTGTATGAACTTTATTAAATATTATAGGAGAGTTTTTGTATGTATTTTGATACATTTTTATGCAATCTACCTGTTAATCGTTCATAGGCGTTTTACAGATATCATGTAGAGAGACTACCTCATAAATTTATAAAGGTCTTCAACTGTCAGAGAAATCCCTGCAGGTCTATGTAGTATATTGTCTATAGATAACAGCCTTCTATGGGTATTTTTTATATAAAAGCTTACATCGGTTTTCTTCAACGGCCATTATTTTAAAAGGACTTTTATAAATGTTCTGTTCATCCAAATTGTATGTTCTTCCAAAGATCAAACCTTTTACATGACTTCTATTCGGTCTTCTATAGGAATAGTATTATAGATAGAAAACAGAAGATTTTTTAGAAGCCAGTATTTTAAGTCTTAGTAGCCCTTTTAGGTATTATAAGGTACAATTTTTATTTAGTCAATTATTTTCTTTTATTTTTTCCCATTATTCAAACAAAAAATAATCAACATTCTCTTTTTCCTCTCTATTTTTGTTTTGCAGTGCGTGCCCGTGAAATGCCTCAAAGTTAACTACATATCTGAATAATTGTTAAAGAGATGATGGAGAGCCAGTCTGCTGCACTAACACTCTCAAATTAAGAAATAAAGTGAGAAAGAGTTAAATTTGTTTTTGTTCCATAAAAACAATAACTCTTTTCCAATGAAAGAGAAGATAAGGCAGATCAGCTCTTTTAAGAAGAGATGTAACAGTAGTTCACACAGCTATAGAAATAAAAATAGCAAACAATTATTAATTTATATTTTTAAATGAAAAAAAAAAACAATTGTTAAATTGAATATATGTTTTAGTATATAAGTTATTTATTTTCTTAATTATAAAACAAAACAAACAACAAATCAAAGAAAAAATCATTTACAGCATTCCAATGTCATTTCAAAGTTCAGAGCCAAGCAAAAGATACATGGCGATTGAGATAAAATAGATCACTAAACAAAAAAATTGATAATTAAATTAATTAAAGTTAATATTAAATTAAACTTATTAAACAAACCACAACGACACAAACAAAGAATTGTGATCATTTTTTGAGGTCTATAAAATAAAAGAAACAAATTATCATTTATACCACATAACATTAAGGCTAATCAAGAGATCACACACACACACACCTCTCATGACATGACAGCATTCATTATTATTATTTTTTTTTTTAATTTTAAGTATATTTAATACTATTGTTTAGTCTAATTTTAGTTACACATTTTCCATTCGAAATATTTCATAACAAAAAATTCATTTAATTGTTTATTATATACATGAACCAATCAAGAGTCAGAATCAGTTTTTTATTATAAATATTATTTAAAAAATTCCCCTTTAATATAACAAAAAATTCATTTAATTGTTTATTATATACATGAACCAATCAAGAGTCAGAATCAGTTTTTTATTATAAATATTATTTAAAAAATTCCCCTTTAATATAAGTTTAAATATATTTTTAATTTTTTTTAATAACGAACAAACAAATGTTTTCACAAAATTGCATATTTTTGTAATGGCTATATTTAAGCTAAACTGCTGTACGAATTTTTCTTCATTGTTAATTTTTCGCCAAGAAAATATTTAGATTTATTTTTTTTCAAAAGTTTTTTTGTTAGGCATTGTTCATATAACATGACTATATAGTAGTATACAATTTACTACTATTATGTGCAATTTATATGTATTAAATGTATTTGAGATAATATAAGAAAAATGAGAAACAACAACAAAACATTTATAAATGCTGATAAATATTATGTATTTTAAATTAAAATAATTAAAATTGTTTATCCCTGTGATATGATATGTTTAATAAAATAAATATAATTCATATATAAAAATTGGAAATTGTACAGTGTTTTTATTTATTTTTTTGTTTTTTTTTTTTTTTTTTTTTTTTTTGATAGGAATGAAATCGAGAAAGTGACCGTTTTTAAAAAAATGTCTTCTTTTTAACGCATTTTGAAATAAAATCTAAAATTTTTTTTTTAGATAAATAATCGGTTGTAATTTCATAATAAGGACACCCTTTTTAATATTAATAATGGCGAATAATAACAGTCAAATTGCCACCATTATATTTCCATATTTTTTTTCATGAAATTTTGCATAAGCAAATCGCAAAATGACTGCCATTTATACTCGACATCCTCATGAATTATATCATCGAGGTCTTAAATCCACGCTGTTAGGTTAGAAATTGTCTTTCACCTAATTATCGCATAGGAACAATCTACAAGGATATATTAGGTTTTTCCATATAGAAGAGTTTTTGAAATCATTTCTCCGAAAGGAGAGTTTTTGTCGATTTTCTGTCGAAGGAATAGTATGAGCTTTATTAAATATTATAAAATTTTTCTGTATTTTGATGAATTGTTTACGCAATCTACCTGTTAATCGTTCTTAGTCGTTTTATGTATAAATGAACGTTTTTATATAGTAGAACTTTTCCAAAGGTTATAAATTGAACAACTTTTATAGGACTTCATTAGATGTAACAAGTGATTCGGGTTTTGTACAGCTATCGCTGGGTTGACAATCCCTGGCCGAGTCGAACTCGAGTCGTTACGGAGCGTAGATCCGATTGTCGTGGGAACTAAGGTCCGGATACAGCAATGTACTCAATTCGTATCGAGAGCACATTGTCCCCGGAACCCTAAACATGTGCACTTCCTGCCCGCAAAGCCCTCACGACATACACCATTTATTCAATTGTCCGTCCGAGCCTACGAGTCTATTGCCCATAGACTTATAGCTAAAGCCAATAGAGGTGCACAATTTCTCCGGCTACCCTCTTCAAATCCGAATTCCTAATTAATTAATATATTTTCCTTTTCCTTCTTCCGTTTTCTTCTATCAACATTTTTCAGGAAAGAACTTTCGTCAACAGCCAACCTGTTACAACAACTGATTCGGGTCTCTTAATAGAGTGCAGTGCTTGGAAGGTGTTCCATACATCGAATACATAACTACAGATATCATATAGAGAGAAGACCTCATAAATGTATAGAAGATGTTCTAAAAGTCTTCAACAGTCATGCAGGTCTATGTTATGTATTGTGTATAGATAACAGCCTTCTTGTCTGGGTATATGCATGCAACTTTTTAAGCAACTCTGCTGCAGCTCTCTACGATTTTCTTTTGAATTTCTTCCCCCTTGGCACTTTTTGGAAGTGAGAGGTATAAACACTTCCAAAAAGTCACCCAGACTATGGGTATTTTATATATATATATATATATAAAGTTATCTACAAGGATGATGTGATTTCATTAAAAGCAATGGTTAATTTGCATGTTTGGCAAGAAGTGCCGTCCTGTTAAAAGCAAACGTTGCCCAGATATATGATAGATGTACTACATGCAGAATGGCTTCGAAATGCATTCTTTATAGACATGAGCTACTATATAAAATGGAGTCAATGGGCCTTAAAGTTTATAAGATCTCCTACATGTCTTCTATGTATATATATATATATATAATAGATTACATAAACCTTTTGTGTGTGGAGGATCTTCTATACCAATTTTTATATCCTTAACCACGCTGTGGTACAGGTTCAATGGGTTCAGATTTGTATATAGCTACCATATAAATTTTCGTCCGATTTCTAGTAAAGGGCCAAAGTTAGGCCTATTGTCACGAAATTTTGCACAGTTAATATAGCCTAACGTGCTCCACGTTTTATTTACATCGGTTCAGATTTAGATATAGCTCCTATATACATTTTCGTGCGATTTTTAGTAAATGATACACCAAAGGGTCAATGTTAGGATAATTGGCACAAAATTTTACACAACCTACTGAAGTTAACATAGCCTAACGTGTGCCAAGTTTTATTGAAATCGGTTCAGATTTAGATATAGCTCCTATTTATATTTTCGTGCAAATTTTAATACAAATTGCATCAAAGAGTCAATTTTACACCAAAGCGTCAAAGTTAGGGCAATTGGCACGACATAGTGAAGTAAGTATAGTCTAACATGTGTCAAGTTTTATTTAAATCGGTTCAGATTTATGGATCGATTACGGATGGTAACAATAGTTTAGTGGCGTTGTCAGTTACCAAATTTGAATTATGGATGGCAACTGTTGTCAACTTCAGTTGCTTCAAATAGAATTTTTCGGCAACCATTTATTTCTGGTTGCTGTTTAGTTTAACTGAAATTTGTAGGCTTCCCATAATGGCTAATATTACTACAAAAGAACATTTTGAGGTCTTAATTGCCGGAAATGTAGCACGCGGCGTGCGGACTTTTGGTCAAACCAAAGCCACTATCGATGATGTGTGGAAGGCCATTTCAGAAGACCTTAACTGCTATGGCCCACCAACACGCATTACAAATGAATGGGAGAGAGTGGCGAACATCTTCTTTTGGGTCCATGATATGTACGTGTGTGTCATCAAAAACCTCAGAGCTGCACACACTTTTAAGAGAGGAGGAATTGGCTTTCGAATTGCCTCAAAGAACTGATGGTAGTTGTAATGGATTTATCTCTTAAATGCCTTCTAATAGATGCCACACCTTGAACATCATTTTCATCATTAAAAACTAGTTCCACTGAGCTTATCACCACATATATTTAGTTTTTCTGAAACATTCTATTCAATTTTTTGTTTGTTTACACTATTTCAAATTGAAGAAGTGTCAAAACAGTCTTATCGATGGCAACTGAGAAAAGTTGATATTCATAATGTTAAGTTTTATTTCAGTGGCGTTGCCAGTTGAAATTATAACTGGGGGTCGACCCATTAGATATAGCTGTCATATATATATATATTCCAAAGGATACAACATTTTGCACCAAATTTTGGACAACCTACTGGATTGATTTAAGTCAGTTCACATATAAATATATATCTCATATTTAATTTGTTTCAATTTATGTCAAAAGTCCTTCAAAAATGAGACCTCTGTTAGGATGCATCTTCTAAATATACCCAATGTGATAAAGGATATCATATAGTAGGCTCGTCCTATTATTCTACTTTCCTTACTTGTTTTTCTTTCCATCCCCTGACCATTTACATTCTACACAATTTCAATTCTGTATATCATCTTCATAATACACACATGCATATATATTTCAAAGTATATATTATTATTTAAAACAAAATGTATTTTTTAATTAAATTAAATATGAATACGCAATATTTATTACTATAAAAAAAATCTAGTCTATAGTAGACAAAAATGAAATGTTAATATCGAAATATTTGTTTCTTTAAAAATACGTCAGAGTAAATACAGATCTGTGAGAATGACAGACAGTCCTTTGGCAGTCAGTTATATCTCTCCAGAGATGTAAAGGACAATAATTTGTACTACTACACTAAACTGTATCACAAATACAGTAGTGTTAGTATATTAATTAAATTTACATTTGGAGAAATCCAATTCGGGATGTTGTTTTTTGAATCTAAAAACAAAGAAAAAAAGAATGATTAATAAATATCAAAAATACAGAAATATATTAAAAATAAAAAAACAAAACCTACTGTTCCAATATTTCCATTTTCTTTTTCTCATCACTGGTGGGTAGACCCATTTCCTTT